GACGCTAGAGTTATGAAAGAGAGAGATGGAAACAAAAGAATATTATGCTTCGATAATTGAATATGTACAAATGTTACAGATTAAATAAAAGAAAAATATATATGCATGAAAAGGCCATAGAATAATTATAAAAATGTAAATGAAAAGTTTACAATTAGAGAAAAGCAAGATTAGGGTGATTTGTCTAACGACAGATTTCCTTCTTCGCTTGCTTCACTTCCTTGCTTCTCATGTAATTGAGTTTCTCGGTCACTAGTGTCGGATATGTGTATAGGTTCTCCTTGATCATGTATTTCGGTTACTACATCGACTCCAACATTTCCCCTCAAAATTGGCCACGAAGCCAATCTTGCGGATGAGTTTGCCAAATATGTATGAAGTCATGGATTTAATGAAGATATCATCAAGTTGCTCCGAGCTCTTAGTATACTCGGCTGATATGATCCCTTGCATTATCTTCTCGCGAATGAGATGATAATCGAATTCTATGTGTTTCGTCCTTTCGTAGTACACTGAGTTGACTGATGTGTGCATTGTTGCTTGATTGTCACAGTGAAGCGGTATTAGAAGTGTGAACGAGATACCAAGATCATCTAAGAGATACTTGAACCAGATTAGTTCGCATGTAGTGTTTGTCATTTCTCTATATTCCGTCTCAGCACTCATCTTACTACCACCGTCTACTTCTTACTTTTTTATGTGACTAAGTTTCCACCAATGAATGTTTAGTAGCCCATGGTTGACTTTCTGTCGGTTTTGTCTCCGGCCCAACCCGCATCAAAATATATCGTTATTCCCACGTCATTGTTGCATTTCATCCACAATCCTTTTGTAGAAATTCCTTTCAAGTACTATATGTTAGTTGTAATGCTCTACGATGATCCGTGATATGACATTTTGACTATGTATTGATTCATTGGTTTATGAATGCATTACTTTTCCCGTTATATGATTAGCATGTTTGTTATATTACGGTAAATATCCTTGAATCATTGCAGATGATTCTAAATTCCCTGGTCAGTTATCATTGTGGGAACAATGATGAATTAAGACCAGCATGATGTGTGATAGATGATTATGATCATATGCATTAGATGCAAATCACAATCATGGGTTCTCGTTTGGAACGAGTTACTGGATGACCCGCATGAGATTGTCACATGGACATGAGTCATGACTTGAATCTCATACAGCGGTTCATTCTTGGATCCTCAGACCTGAGATGTCTAGAGTATCTGATATGAGGAGTGACGTGTCTTGACTGCGTCAAACGTCGTCTTTAACCGGATGATCATAACGGCGTTGCTCAGATACGTTAACGAATCATATGCAGATAGTAGACATGCAATACGGGACTTGTCACCTCCTACGCAGGAGAGATGTCGCTGGGCCCCTCGTGGAAATCGGACTGTGAAAATGCGTGGCCACGCTATAGATGAATGTACATCTATTTTATCAGTCGGTTTGCCTAGACGAGTAAGCGGTTGAACTTGAAGGGTGGCTCATACCATGCCCTTGTTCAACATACGACATCGTGAGACAAAGGATCAGAACTCGAACTAATGCTGGCTTTGTTAGATCACCTCTAACTCTATTCTAGGTGGGTGGTCATGGCGTCTTGCTAGAGACTAACCATGACTTGTGGTTCGGAAAA